CATTGCTGACGAGCGCGTCCCAACCAGCGTTCTTCATGATCATGTTTCTGGTGGACGACGCCGTTTGCGAGTCTTCGACGGTAGGAAATTGCTTTTTTAGAAATTTTTGGTTTGCTCAATTTATAAAAAATAAAATGCACGCATTTATGCCTCCCGCAAATTTTCGACGGTAGAAAATTATTTTAATAAAATTTTTTAGTTCCTTTTAGCCGATAATGTTCAAAATTTTTTAGCCCAAAAAATAATTTGGACAAAGATTTGTTTTCGCAAACGTTATTTGGACTTTAATTTGCGCTTTTATACGATATCTCATTGTATCTGACAAATTATCATTCCGTTGGTTTGTTTAGTTTTGTTATTATAATATTGTTATTATAATATGGTAGATTTTCCTTCAATCTTTAATAAGATTAAACAAATTCCCTGTAGTCCCTTCTCGCATTTAATGCGTCCTTCCTAAGCTCTTCCGTGCTTTCGCAGTGCCACCTTTATACTAACACGGGTACTTTTGTGAAAGAAATATGTGTTAGATCTCCATATTAACACGAGTACTTTAAATTTATATTTTATTCACTGAAAGAAATATGTGTTAGACACCACACAAAATTATTCTCATGCGTCACATGCATTTATGAATATGAATTTAAGCATGCAATATACACGACCGTATTTAAAAGAAAACTGTAGTGTATCGAGTGTTGGTAAGAGCGTTACACGCTCCACGACTCGTCACTGCGCGAGGCGCCGGGCTGAGCGTGCGACGTACATGCGATGTACACTCTAGTCATAGCCGGCTACCCAGTCACACGTATTGTACAACAGCAATAACACACACATATATACATATCGCATAGTAAGAAGTACTCCAGTTCATTACCCTTGCCCACAACATTTCACTGGCGACGAGGATGATCTACGGATAAAGGGTAATAGGAACATGTGTTACCGTATTCGAAATTAAACAAGAGGTACATAGAAATAGATGTTGGGAAGTAGTCTAGACGAGAAAAAACGTGTTGGCTGGGTGTATTATTTGAAAAAAGCCGAAGTTATCAAAGAACTGTTAAATCGAAACATTTCAGTAGACGAATCGTTAACGATAGATGTACTACAAAAACAATTAGCCGATATCGTGCGCGAAGAAACCGTGAGTGGCGTAGATACGCAAATTCCGACAGTTTCCGCACCGATAAAAGAAAACTCCACTAGCTCGAATCCGAATACAGCGGACAAGAACAGTCAAGATCGCAAATCAAGCAGTTCGGACAGTAGCGAAGGTGATATCAGCGACGCGCAAGATTTGGATAGCAGCATGTCGGAGAAAAATAATCTGGAATTCAGTTTAAAGAGTGACGATTGGGATACATTTCTCGAGAGATTAGAAATCCTATTTGCTGTCAAGGATATACAAGCAAACAAGAAAGCAGTAAATTTGCTATCCCGATTGGACGAAGAAGCATTTATGCTAATGCGGAATCTTTGTTTGCCGAAAAAACCGATCGAACAAACCTACGACGAACTTAAACGGTTGATGTCAAATCATCTGAGTCCAAAACCGTCGGAAGTGATGCAACGATGCATCTTTAACCAAGCAAAACAAGGTGAAACCGAATCAGTAGCCGAATTCGCAGGGAGATTAAAGAAGTTGTCGATTCATTGCAACTTTCAAGTGCAAGACCTAAACACGGCTTTGCGTGATCAATTTGTCTGTGGGATTAAAGACGAAGATACGCGCATACAGCTATTTAAAACGGCAGATTTGAAGTACGACAAGGCACTCGAGGAAGCGGTGGCAAGAGAAAAAGCGGTACAAAATGCAGTAAGTTCAATGAAAACTTTGGAAAATAAGAGCGCACAAGAAGGAATTTATGCGTTATCAGCACATCGACGTGATCGCAAAGGCCACGTTCAAAATTCGGAGAAGCCAGGCAAAGGACATCAACAAATTCCTTCGAAATCAAAGCAAGGACATCAACAAATTCCTTCGAACTTAAAGCAACGCAGAAACGAAAGCGTTTACAAGCACGCATCATCAACTGGCAGTCGAGGCGAACCGCACGTCTGTTATTGTTGTGGTAAGTAAAATCATTACGCCAAGCAGTGTCGGCATCGTTTCAAGACGTGTGATCATTGTCATCGTAAGGGCCACGTCGAAGCAGCTTGACGCACCAAGGCCGCATTGATGAAACATCTTTGAGACAACGAGCTAGAGCAACCCGCGCCCACGGAAGCATACGAGGAAGAGCTATGTAACGTATACAAATTTTACCCGTTGCGCGTACACGAGAAGGAAGAAATTGTAAAACGTAAAGGTCTCTTTAAAAGAGTGGGTCCGATGTTTATGAACGTGATTATAGAAAAAAGAAATCTTCCTATGAAAGTAGACACAGGTACTTATAAATCGGTTATTTCAGAAAAAACGGCACACGAAATGTTTAGCGATATTGATGTTGAGCATTCTAATACTATCTTATTTGGATACGATCAAAAACCGCTGCCACTGTCCACAATTAAAGAACGTAATAGTAAGTTTCAACAATAAAACGAGAAAACTAGACTGTTTAGTTATGCCAGGTTCAGGTCCTTTCCTCATCGGTCGTGAATGGTTAAATGCATTCGACCTATGGCCTCTTAAATTGCCAGTAAACTCTGTAATGGAAATCAAAAAATTAAATGCAATCGAAGTCTGCAATTTGTTAGAAACGAAATATAAAACACTTTTTAGTCCGGAGTCTGGCGTATACACCAAAGGGGAAATGAAATTATATTTGAAAGATAACGTAAAGCCAGTAGCATTGAAGGCGAGACACGTACCGTATGCGTTAAAAGAAAAAATTGAAAAAGAACTGGCGAGACTTGAGTCGTTAGGGCATTTGGAAAAAGTCGAAGTTAGCGAGTGGGCGACCCCTATTGTACCGATTATCAAAAGTAATGCCGATATTCGCATATGCGGCGACTTCAAGTTAACAGTAAATCCGCACATTATCGTACACACGCATCCGATTCCTCGGATCGATGATATTTTCGGAGTTCTACAAGGAGGAATTATATATTCGGAATTAGACTTGAAACACGCCTATATGCAAATACCTGTTCACGAAGCGTCGCGCGAGCTTCTTACTATTGTTACGCATTTAGGATTACACCGCTATACGAGAATCGTGGAAGGCATCGCATCGGGTCCGGGAGACTTCCAGGAAAAGATTGAAAACTGTATTCAAGGCTGTCCGGGCGCGATCGCATTCTTAGACAATATTTACGTATCGGGTAGAACGAGCGACGAACATTTGAAGAATCTCATGATGGTATGCACACGTTTAGAAGAAAGCGGATTAAGATTAAATAAAGAAAAATGTGAGTTCATGAAAAATCGTATCGAAGTTTTAGGTTTTGTCATCGACAAAAATGGTCTTCACAAGTCGAAGTCTAAAGTAGAAGCGATGGTTAAAGCGCCAAGACCAACTACAAACAAACAATTAGAATCATTCTTAGGGCTAATAAATTTCTATGCTAGGTTTTTACAAAACCGTTCGGACAAACTGAAATCCTTATACGACTGCGCAAAAGCAAAAAATTTTGAATGGAACGCAGCGTGCGAGGAAGCATTCCGAGGTGTCAAATCGGAATTGATTTCTTCTCGCGTACTAGCACACTTTGATCCGAACGAAACAGTAGTCTTAGCTTGCAACGCATCTGCATACGGCTTATCAGCAATTCTTTCGCATCGATACAAGGACGGAACGGAAAGACCGATCGCATACGCATCCAAAAAGATTCCTAGTAAAGAATTAAATCGTGCCATAATAGATAAAGAAGCAGCCGCTATAGTTTTCGGGTTTAAGCGTTTCTACGATTTTGTTTACGGGAGAGAAATTATTTTGAGAACAGATCATAAGCCCCTTGAATTTATCTTAGGACCGAAAAAGGGCATCCCGATCACGGCTGCCAGTAGGCTCCAACGCTAGGCTTACTATTTATCAGAGTTCAAATATGTAATCGAACACATTAAATCGGAAAATAATAGAAATTGCGACGCACTCTCGAGACTTCCAATCGACAACAAGTTAGACATTTTTGATTCGAACCTGAGTTTTATAAATTATATAAGTAATGGATTTAAGTCTATCGATTATTGTGACACTGCATCAAAAACTAAGAGCGATTTAATTTTAAGCAGCATCGTAAAGTATACTTTGTTTGGTTGGCCAGAGAAAGCGAATAAATTGCCTAAAGATGAAAAACCATACTTTGCAAAACGCACCGAAATTTCGTTTGAAAACAACTGCCTCTTTTGGGGATATAGAATTATAATACCGGAATCATTGCATTTTCGAATCCTAAGCGAATTACATGCCTCGCACATGGGAATTGTTAAAATCAAGATGTTAGCTCGTTCTTACGTTTGGTGGCCAAACATTGATAAGGATATTGAAAAC